CATGATTTCCCAGATTTTCCATCTTTTTGGGGAGTTTTTCTGCCCCAGGTGTGCCCCAAACTCAAATTTAATCCCAGCCTGGGTCTTTTCCCTGTTGTTGTCTCATTGTTTTCCCTCATTCCCCGTCCCCACAGGGTGTTTGGGATTTTTTTATGTTGATTTTGGGATGATGCTGGTGCTGGGAGATGAGGAAAGGAACCAAGTTTGTGTCCTGGCAAGTTTTGTTGTCCCTTAAGATCCTTTCTTCCCTCTCAGCTCCACACTGGAATGGTGCTTTAATACCTACAAAATAGAAATATATTTACATTAAATCGATTCTTGCTGCTTAGGGAATAATTCCTCCCAAGCTGCTGCAATGTCAGAGGTGCTTCTTGCAGGGAATTTCTGTTTTACCTTCCCTGAAACCCCTTGTAGGAGCAATCCTTCCATGAATTTTTTTTGGCAGGAGCTGCTTGGAGGGATGGGATTTGTAGGGACACCGACCTGGAGTCGGGGTTTTGTCACCAAGATCAAGCTCCCAGCAGGGATGGACTGGATGGACGCTGGTCCTGGCCTGTCTGGCCCCAAAATTCCTCCCTCCCTTCCCACCCAAACTCTATAAATAACAAATAACAACAACTCCCAGCCTGCTGAGCTATTTGGGGTTTTTTTGTGGGTTTTTTTTTTTTTTTGCTTTGTTTTGCTTTTTGTGCGTTTAGGAAGTCACTTCTCATAGAAACCACGAATTTTTTTGGACTGGATTCCTCACTGCCCCAGAACTGTTTATCCAAAGCTTTGCCCAGGTGAGCAGAGAACCCAAAGGTTTTCCAGGTGGGAAGCAAAGCTGTGCTGGATCTGTCCTGGCCATGCTTTGGGCATCTCTCCTTCCCTCCCCCCTTCTTTTCCTTTCCCTGATTATCCCAAAACCCGAGGCAGCCTCGGTGCTTTCATTTCAGACCGACTGGAAATAAAACATTGGGATTTTTTCCCAGCTGAGCAAACTTTCCAACCAGGATTTTGCTTCCCTTTGCTCCTGCCTGGCTCAGGGAATGGGAAGGATTTGCTCTGGTGCCATCAGCACTGGAAACCTGGAATATCCCTGGAATATCCCTGGAATATCCCTGGAATATCCCGGAATATCCCTGGAATATCCCAGAATATCCCTGGAATATCCCTGGAATATCCCTGGAATATCCCAGAATATCCCTGGAATATCCCTGGAATAGGCCAGGCAGGCACCTGGTTGGGCCAGGAAAACCAGGAGAGATTTCAGTCTCGTTTTATCTGCATGAAAAAAGGATTAGGGAGCTCCCAGCCCAAACAGAGCAAGGGGCTGGGCTGTTGATGGATGTTCCCATCCCTCTCCTGCCACCAAATCCCTTCCCCTGGAGCCAAAGGAGCTCGGGAGGAAGAGGGAGAGAGAAACGAGAGCCCAGGAGCTGGGGGGATCATCAGCCACAGCCCAGGAATGCTGAGCAGGAGCCTCGGGACACCCTGGCTGGGTCTGACCCCAAACCACGGCTCCATCTTTGCATCTTTCCCACATCCTTTGGTTTTTTTTTTTGGTTTTTTTGTTTTTTTGGGAGCTGTGGCTGTGCTGGCTGTGCTGTGGCTCGAGTTTGTGCTGCTGGAGCAGCTCTGCCCCATCCCAGCTCTCTCCAGGATGCTGCTCCTGCCTTTTGTTTGTCCAGCTCTTTGGGAATGCTGAGCTCAGCTCATCAGGAATTCCACGTGCTTCCCACCCGGAGCACAAAGCACTTTTTTCCCCCTGATCAGAGCCACGGGGGTGGCCCCAGGAGCTCCTGCATTCCCACAGGGATGTTGGTACTTTGCACTTTGCAGGAATTTTTCGGGATCCTCGGTTAAAGCCGTGAAACCTTCCAGCCTCTTTGCATCTTTCCTCTCTCCTCTCCTGTTTTTCCAAACCCCCTGATGGACTTTGGAGCTCCCTGATGTCTCGGGACTTCCATGACGGATGGATTTGGACTTTGGGATTGGGGAGAATAATCAGAAAACCGGCTCCATGTGCATGTCCTGGGCTTGGCAGAAGAAAGCAGCTCCACATCTATCACTTTCCTGATCTCTGGTTCCTCAGGGCACTGCTGTGCTTTATTGAAGCTGAAATTATTATTTTTGAATGCCTCGTTACCTCTGTTCCCAAAAATCAGAGATCTGAGCCGCTCTTCCTTGTGCTGCTCCTCGGGGATCAGAGACTTGGACTCACCCCAGGCTCTGAGGAGGATTTGTCCTGGCCAGGAAGGGTCTGGGGGTGCAGGAGTTTTGGGGAAAAGTGAGAGATGTCCCATCCCAAGGGCTGGCTCACCTTAGGGTTTTGCCCGGGCTCGTGGTTGGTTTTAAGCCTGATGGATTCAGGTCAGGACTGGTCCTGTTGTGGGGCAGCAGGGCCGGGAAGGGGCCGGTCCCTGCTCTGCTGGCAGCAGGGAAAAGGGATCCAGGGGTTCTCAATCCAATTCCTGGAGGGGATTGGGGGAATCTAAAGGAGGAGAGGCAGCTGGGAGCTGTGGGATGAGCACGTGCCAGTGATGGAAGGGTCTGTTCACCTCTTCCTGTGCCAGCAGAGCTGCTGCCTCTTCTTGGGGATTTGGGAGCTGCTGCTCGAGCGTTTCCTGGGACATTTCCTCTGCGTTTCCCTGAGAATTCCCTCTGCACTTCCCAGGACATTCCCTCTGCATTTCCCTGAGCACTCCCTGGACATTTCCCTGAGCATTCCCTCTGCATTTCCCGGGCCATTCCCTGAACATTCCCTCCGCATTCCTTGGACATTCTCTCTCCATTTCCCTGGACATCCCCTGGACATTTCCCTGGACATTCTCTCTCCATTTCCCTGTGGATCCAAGGGGCAGGGGTCTGTGGGGTCTGTGCTGACCCCACACGTGTCCAGCTCCTCCCTGTGACCCCGAGGGCAGCCGGAGCCTTTCCCACCCCAATCCAGGGGGAGCTGGGGGTCAGCACCATCCCCACATTCCCTGTGACCCTGCAGCAGCCAGGAGGTGAGGCAGGGAAGGATCAGCTCCCCCCAGACTTCATTCCTGTCTATTTTAGTCGCTCTCCTGGCCAGCTTGTTCCCGGGGGAGTTAATTTAATCGCCACCTTCCTCCCTGCGTGGCTGTGGTTGTGTGTGAGCCCTTGTGCAGGGTAATTACAAGTGTGAAGTGGACACGGCAGGGACGAGCCTGGGCTCCATCCCAGCACCCTGGATATCCCTGTGGATGCACCCAGCCAGGGCTGCTGCTGTCCCACAGAGCTCCAGCCTGTCCTTGTCCCCAGGAATGGGCACACAGAGGGGCAGGGACAGGGATCTGCTGGAGCTCTGCCTGTGCCAGCCCTTGTCCTGCTGCTGCACCTGATTTTCCAGCTCTTTTTCCCAAGCACTGACCTGCAGGGAAGGGGATCTGGAGGAGATGTGGCTGTTCTGGGCAGCCCTGGGGGGGTTTAAAGTCCTGAACACACTCTGGGATCTCACAGCAGAAACCGGAGCTCCCATTCCTTCCCAGGGACTCTGTGGGAGCTTCACCCTCTGGTGATGCCTGAGACGCCTCTGGCTCCACTCTGAGCTCCTCATCCCTCAGGATTTCATGTCTGGCTCCGCATCAGGGCTGACTTGGGCCAGTCCAGGTTGGGGCATGACAGAGGCTGTGGATTCAGCAATGTGTGGATGTTATTCACCCCCACACCTCTACACCCATGGGGAGATGACAGCCTGCTCTCCTCACCTCTGCATTTTGCCCCAGGCTTTCCAGAGGCATGGGAATGGCTTTTCTCCCGGCTGGGGCTCACGTGCTCACCCTGCATTGGGATTTGCAGCCAATGCAGTTGTTCAAAATTCAGCTGGAGCTGCTGGGTTTCCCTTGGTTGAGCCCCAAAATCGCCTCCCCTGTGGGAGCTGTGAGCAGGGCTCTGTGCTGGGATGAGTTTTCCTTCCCACAAAACCTCCTGTCTGCAGCACCCCCGGCTGCATCTGCACCCTGGGGAGGGCAGAGAGGGGAAACTGAGGCTGATTTTGGAGGGTGTTGTGGAGCTGAGAGAGGAGCAGCATCACTCCAGACGTGCTGCAGCCCCTCTGCAGCATTTCCAGGCTTCTGGGGCACAGCTAGAACCCCTAACTCCCCTCATTATACTCCTTTTAATTATCCCTAATTGCCCTGCTGCCTGCTCGGCTCTGGTGTGTGGGACCCTGGTTTTATCGAGGATAATGAAGTGTCCCAGGTCCCTTTTCCCCCTTCCCCTCCCCTCCCTGGCTGCTTGCAGGACTCCTGTTGCAGCCAGGCCCAATTATGGCTCTGCTCTCCCTCCCTCTGCCCAGCCTATAATTTAGTTTTATATAAAGTGCGTTCCAGCCCCTGTTGTGCAAGACGTTGCTATTCCGGGGGATGGGCAGAGGGAGGGGGCTGGGGGAGTGTGACATCGCACCGAGCCCCCCTGGGCACCCCACATTCCCCGTGGGATGGAGCAGGAACCCCACATTCCCCGTGGGATGGAGCAGGAACCCCACATTCCCTATGGGATGGAGCAGGCAGCTCCCAGCAGCGCTGAAGGTGGTGCTGCTTTCTCCTGGCTTTCTCCGAGGGGCTTTTCAGCACCGAGGTTTCTCCCGTGGGGAATAACTCAGCTCCTTTCAGGTTTTTTCACGCCCCATCGAGGGGTCCTGCAGGGGTTACTGCTGCTCCGGAGCGCAGGAGGATGAGGGAAGGTGGCAGCCAGCTCCCGTAGGGAAGACAGTGGCCCTTTCATGGGAAGGGGGATGAAAAATCCAGCTTGAGCCGCTGAGTGTAACCAGATCCCTCGGCTTTTTGGAGAAGGAATGTGAGAGTTTGGGAGGGATTTTGGGATGGCGCTGCAGCGGGGTGAGCAGCTGCGGAGTGATGCGGTCCCGGCGCCCAAATCCCCAGTGTGCCACCACAGGGATGGGATCGGGAATCGGAGCCGTGCCCGGTGCCAGGGCAGTGTCTGGCAGTCTGGGTGTCCCCAGGGGCTCAGCTCTAACCCCGTTTCTCTTGCAGAGGTGGCCGAGCCCTCGCTGCCTCCCCCGAGGCAGATCCCGGCGCTGCCACCGGCCGAGCCCCGGCCTCTCGCCCGCCCCGCGGTGCCGAAGAAGGAGAAACCCCTGGAAGATGAGAAATGCCCGGCAGTGCTGACCAAAGGCCCCCGGGCCGAGCTGTGCGGAGCTCCCGAAGCTGTGACATGTGAGTGTTTCCCTCGGTGGCAGCTCCGGACCCGAGCCCTGGGCTGCTGCCACCTCAGCAGCAAAGAAGCCGGGCCGAGGTGGGAACCCGGCTCCTCCTCGCTTTGTTCCTCCCCACATCAAAGCTGGAGCCGAGCCTGAGTCACCTGGAGAGGCGAAAGTGAAGGGTGGCATCCCGGGCGGCTCCCGGGGCGCCCCGAGGCGGAGCGGGGGCAGCTTTGGGAAGGGTTGGGGGAAAAGAGATGAGCCTGCCTGGGAAAGGAACTGGATGGAGCATCCCCCAAAACCCCAGTGGGGGTCTGGAAATCCAAAAAAAATGTTTTCGTGGGCACAGCCCGGGGATGTCTCTGTGGGCACAGCCCCGGAATGGCCCCATGGCACAGCTCTGGGGTATTTCCATGGCACAGCTCTGGGGTATTTCCATGGCACAGTTCTGGGGTATTTTCATGGCACAGCCCTGGGGTATTTCCATGGCACAGCTCTGGGGTATTTCCATGGCACAGCTCTGGGGTATTTCCATGGCACAGCCCTGGGGTATTTCAGGGCACAGCTCTGGGGTATTTCCATGGCACAGCTCTGGGGTATTTCACGGCACAGCTCTGGGGTATTTCCATGGCACAGCTCTGGGGTATTTCCATGGCACAGCTCTGGGGTATTTTCATGGCACAGTTCTGGGGTATTTCCATGGCACAGCCCTGGGGTATTTCCATGGCACAGCCCTGGGGTATTTTCATGGCACAGCCCTGGGGTATTTTCATGGCACAGCTCTGGGGTATTTCAGGGCACAGCTCTGGGGTATTTTCGTGGCACAGCCCCGGGACAGAAGCGCAGCAGCCGCTGGCAGAAGCCAAGGCAGACGCGTCCCGTCCCGTCCCGTCCCGTCCCGTCCCGTCCCGTCCCGCCGGGCCAGCTCTTGCCTTGGCGAGTCCGGGGCGAGGGTGAGGCTGGTGCCGAGCCTGGCTGAGCCGGGCTGCCCGCACGGAGCTGCTTTGGCTGCGGGCGGTGGCGGGGCCGGGCAGCACCTCCCAAAATCTGCTGCCGTCAGAAAGGCCGGGCTGGGCTGGGCTGGGCTGGACTGGGCTGGGCTGGGCTGGGCTGGGCTGGGCTGGGCTG